GAGTTAAGAATGGATCTGAAATATTTTATCAAATCTGATATCAATTGATATTTTGATGTGTTACATTCTGGTAAAGTTCTTAATTAGAACTCGATTTGTATAGCTCATTCAATTTGAGAAATAGCAATGTTACATCGTGCAAAGTATTTGAAAAAGTTTCCTTTTAGAAATATTTCATTTTTTGGTTTTTCCTCATTCTTTGATTCATTCTGAAAAAATATATTAGTTCAGATATTACTCTTTTCAATAAAAAACAATTTCATTGGTTGACAAGTTGCTAAGATTGTATGGCAGAATTAGACAGTTTTTTAAAGAATTTCCAAGTTGTTTAAGTAATCAAAATAATTCCAAAAACAACTAAATTTCTTGAAACGATGGACCGTTTTTTTTCCGTATAAAAAGTGCAAGCTTCTTGTAATATTTTTATTAATAGCTCCTTTAGAATGTTCTTTCAAAAATATCTTTTTAAAATTTGTTATCGATACATTTTGTTGTATTGCAATAGTCATATCCAATCATATAATAATATCGCAAAAAAAAGACAAGTTTACTTCAGTTTTGAATCACTCTCATTCAATTACTATTAACAAACCCTTAAGTTTGATAATTAAATACGTTCATCTAGAAGTTTATTCAACATTTTCATAAAGTAATTATATTGCATGAATTGCTGAATAGTTTATTTGCAAAAATTTGACTGAAATCGACGTAATACTTTCTAACGAGAAATAACAATTGATTCAGGCAAAATAAAAACGAAACAAATCATACTTTACACAGAAAGATGAGTAGGTAGGTAAGAAAAAGCCATTGGTTTTTAAAACAAAAGTAATGTTAAAAAATAAATCTATTCTAAGTAGAAATAAGAATAGAAGCAACTTTTATTAGAGCATTGGAAGCTCAACACACAAGGAAGTAAGAGAATATTATTCAAGCAAAAAGTCTACAATTAGAATTATGAGAAAATGTGACAAACAAGACGCATAGCTTTATTACTTCTCTCGGTAATGATGTTTGTCGAACTATTTCATTACTTCCTTTGAATAACGCACGCTTCTTCACGAGTCTCATAAAAGAAATAAATATAACGGTTATGAATCGATGAAAACAAGAGTTATAATTACTTTTTGTTTCATCAATAATAGAAAAGTCCGATCTTTCGACATACATTTAAGTTAGACGTCGTGCAATAAAGAAAGACTCTTCTAGACAGATGACCACCGAAATTAGTATTGGTATTCAATATCGAAATCGATTTATACAATCCATTAAAACTTTGAACTTCTATGATGACGACGATGAGTTGCCTTTAACTGAACAGCTCTTAACTACTCGTGTTTACATTGTGTCTCTTTTGACAAGTTTCTTGATTATACTCTCATTCGTTGGTGTCATCCCCCAAACTCGTGTAATTACTGTCTCTTCACCTTCTCTTAGTATCTTTGAGAACTTAGCAAATAGTTATATCTATACATTAACTTGTCGCTGCTCTCAAGTGTCTATTTCTTATAAACAATTTTTTTCATTTAATCCACAATGTCATCAAGTTTGTTCGAGTGATTTAATCAGTGAAGAATGGTTTTCGTCTCTGTTCAATGTAACAACAAGTAATTACTATCCTCTGGACTTTCGTCTAATGGCATTCGCACAATTTCAAGTTTTGTGTGTTCTTTGTTGAGTATTACGTCAGACCGCATTCGATGCTATAAATGAATTCTCTGTTTCCCTATTTATTTCAATGCGTGCTCCAACACGTAATACTTTCAATAGTTGTATGGCCACACGTGTCCAACAATTTAATAAAACTACTGTTGCAAATTTTCGTGCAAACCCTGGTAGTGATAACTATGAAAATTTTTCTGGTATCTACCAATAAAACGTAAATCTAATGCAAACGTCGTTTATGTCAAATGAAAACATGTCGATGTGATCACACGAGTAATTGTATCTACCCTGCTGGCATCTATAATCAATCAAAAGTCATCGTTCCTAATGAAGTCTTTTCACATAATGCATCACTTCTATTTGCTGTACCAGGATTTCAAGTTGGATGTGTACCTCAAAATGCATTGCTTCAATCGACATTACAATGTTTTTATAATCAATCGTGCTTGGATATGGTCATTACATTAACTGGCGCTCTTCCTAATGCCTCTGCACTGAATATTTCAGGTTCTTCTTCTCGATTTGATCCAACAACAACTATCAGTGTTATTTTTGATAATCTAATGCTCGAATCCTGGCATAATTCTATTGATTTCGCTGCCTATTTTCGGGCTTGGGCACCTAAAACTTGTTCGTATTCCTATGAACAACGCTTCTATCTCATTTATATGATAACAGTCGTGGCCAGTTTCTTTCGTGGATTGAGTAAAGTATTGCATATCACATCTCCATTGCTTGTCAAATGTATTTTACGCTTATGTCGTCAACAGGTTCGAACGCTTGAGGCTGACGAAGGACGTGAATCAACCACAAGTAAAATTAATTTTTTCAATAGACTTCTGTTCGTTCTGATTTGTTTTTCTTCATAGATTGCCAAGGTGGTATATGGAATATCGGATAACCTAGCTTATCAAAAAGCTACCATATTCAATTTGTTCAAGATGACCTTCACCAATGTCAATCATGGTATTTATTCTACTTGAGTTTATATCATAGTTTTGACTGTCTGGATTTACATTTTGACCATCTATTCCGCTACAACAATTGTTTCGACAAAAATGACCGTTCAAAATCCAAATGTGAGTCAATTTGAAGAGCTGGATAAAATATATTCATCGATTCTATCACGCACATGTCATCATTCATCAATGCCACGCTCAACTTTCCTACATTATAAAATACAATTTCATCCAGTTTGTACAAGTAATTTTATTCGTGATGAAGGTTGGCTTCAATATTGGACGATGACATTTCTCATTGGTACTATTGATCCTACTCCTTCTTTTCTAGTCCGATATCTTGAATGCATTTGAAGCGGAGGAATTTTTTTCTTCTACACCAATAACAAGGTCCGAATTCGATAATATAACTGATTCGTGGAAGAATTCTTTCCAAATGCAGGTAGAAAACGATTTAAAAGTTAATTTCACAATATTTATTGTGTTTTTTTTGTAATGTAGATTATCACCATGACTTTGAGTAAAGTCTATCCTCTGGACACGAGTATTCGACAAAGTGATTTCGTTTCATTCGGTTCACATAATCCTACCCTAATCTCAAAACAGATTGATAACACATTGTACTTATACTAAGTTCCAGGTAATATTGCAATGTCAGATTATTGGGCATGCTCTTGTGATAGCGAAGGTTTATGCTGGCTACCATTGGGTTTCTATTGCTCTTCAACGTCATGTGTACCAACGGATTCTGAACCACATGAAGTTGTTCCTAGCATAGCTCTTGGTTGTCAATTTTTAGATTTTGATCTTTGCTCACTGGGTTGTCTTTTCAACCCGTCATGTGTTCAGATGCTCATCGACGAACGTCTTTATGGTTATGAGAATTTCTATTTATCAGTTGACTTCAGTAATATAACGGCACTTCAGTCAGAGAACATGTACACTTTTATTCCTGATGATATATTCTATGTTCTCATGGTAAACGCTTTTGTCGATAAATGGATCGATATCGTAGATTATGAATCTTACTATGCTCAATGTCAGCCAGAAATATGTACCTACACCATAGATCAGAAATTGCATCCAATTACTCTTGTTAACACCGTTTTTTGACTCATCGGATGACTGACTGTTCTATTGAGTCTTCTCATTCCATTATTGATCAAAATTATTCTTGGAATTTATCATTTGTGTCTTCACCGAACACGAGGTATCAAACTTTATGCTTCAGATATTCAATTATTTAAAATTATTCTAGGTATTCTTGCACGTCGGCGACTGATTGTCTATCTTCGAGATAAGCTTTGTTCCATAAACTTGCATCAAAATAAACCTGAAGCTGAATATCAAATTTTGGCAACGCGTATCTATATTTTTCTTCTCATAATATCTTTCTTGACTATATCAATTTTCATACGATTTCAGCTTTGTACACTACTGATCGCCGTAAAATCACCAAATGAGACTTATTTCTCATTTCTTCATACTCATTATTCAGATAGTTTATCGTGTCCTTGTACACGAATATCTATTAATTACGAGGATATTATAGAGACTTCAAATAACTTACACGAAATCTGTCATCAACTGATCTACCAGAGTCTATCAACAGTTTCATTACCAGAAAACGTTTTATACGATGAATTCATGTTGACTTTTATCGTACCTCAAATGAGATTTCTAAGATTCCGATGTAGTATTGTAGACTTTGCTTTACAGCAGGCGGCGAATTGTCTTATAAAAAGTTTCATATCAATAGAACCGATGACCTAAGGAACTTTCGATGCATTGCTCAATATGTCACTATCTGAAATGCTTAAACATCCTTTAGTCTCCATAAATCATGCCTTGAATTGGATTTCTGATATATTTCAAGCTAATCGATTTCAAAATCAATATATGACAAGCTGGAAAACAGAATATTCGAGCTTCAAAGAAAACTACATTCTTCGTATGCGTCCAGTTTCTTTAATGAACGGTAGTTGTTCTTGTGCAAGTGGCAAGTCAAATTGTACAAAAACGCCTATTTTTTATGATCAGAATGATGAACCAACAATATTACCAGGTAGGTTCTTTAATCAATTTTGTTCTTGTAAGATTCTATCATTTCATAGTGATTTATTGAAGTTTCCAACAATATCTGTAATTAAAACAATTTTACCATTATATTTGATGTCTGATACTTTTAGGCTTTGTAGTGGGATGTTCAATCATGAGTATGGTCTTTATCAATCTACCCTTGAGTTTTTCTATGATGATATTTGTGTGAGTAAATTAAACAGACTTCTACTTGTTTCCTTTACTAAATTGAATCGTGATATAACGCCATTTTCACCGTCGACTCCAGTTGGCATGATTTTAGAAGAAAATTTCCTAGGCTCATGGACTTATTCAGCTTCTTATTCAAATTATTTTCAATTATGTGCTCCATCGACATGTCAATATCATCAAACCGAACAAAACAGTGCTGTCTACTTATTTACAACACTGCTTGGGTTGTACGGTGGTATTGACTGCATTCTTACAAGTTTTTGTCTGGCATTTGTTACGACTCTGCCGATGCATTATGAGAAGATGTCTATGTTTTTTTAGACATGTACATCCATCATCCATAGATTTGAATAAACTGACTAGAATATCAGCAATGCTTCATTTTCGATATTGTATATATTCTTTTGCTTTTTATTCGGTTTGTTTTGCATGCAAAAATGCTTGCTTTTGTGCAATGAAAAAAAAACTTATTTTCATATGACATTATTATTTTACTCAATATTTATTCGATATCAATTAATGACTTATTAAATAATGAAATATGATCCAAAGTGTGTGGGTGTGGTTGGCTAGAAGAAAAATACCCACACCCCACACCCTTCTTTCTAAAAAAATCAACAAACGTAAGTAACAGTGATGGTTCAGTCCGAGTTACGCGAGTCAATAATTTTAAAAATTTTGGTTTATTGGCATAAGAACTTACAACATGTAAGATTAAGTTCTCACTTAATTACATATTACTTACAAATTGCATCTATTTTATTCGAAATGTTTTTCAAGAGCTTTTCCCACTTGTGTGGTTCATATGTTTGGAGTAACAGTCTAAGGGTTAGAATTGGCGCTTTTAACTTTTTTAAAAGTTAAAGCTAACATAACATGCTTGTGCTTCAAAATTTCAAGCTAAAGTTAAGGTACATTTTTTCACAACAATCTATTTTATAAAAAAAATTATTTTTTTTTCATAAAAAAACTGATTTTTTGTGAAAAATTTGACTTTAACTTAAACTTTTTTGTAAACTGAAAATTTCAAGGATTCTTACTATGAATTGAATTTTAAAAGAAGTACTTTACTTTAACTTTAACTAAGTTATCGATGTACTTTTAAAGTTCAAGTGCTATGCCTACTAAATGTAATCTTGAATATATTTATAAAAAGAGGGTGAATCTATGAGATTTCTACACAATTTGGAAAATGAGTTTTTGTCGATTTTGACGCTCTAGTCAGATGTAACGTGATCGAAAACTGTTAGAGGTAATAAAAAAAGTTTTTTTTCATACATAAGGTATGAAGATCCAGATCAGTTTCAGGGACAATTCAAGACATTTGTAATTAGACATTTTGAGGTTCTCAACTAAGTTGCAAAATGATGAAATTTACAACGTTTGTACAGCTTGTAATTCTAATAATGGAGGTGCTTGTGTTCTAATTGAGCTAGACCTGATATTTTTGGCATCAAATAAAAGCTCTCATAACCAAAGTAGTAAGTTTAAAATTTAGCTTTCATTGGTGCATCACTAGATAGATATTGAAATTTTACATAATACTCAGTATAAGTATTGGACACAAGGGGGTAAGTGCAGATCCTGTACCTTCAGCAGCTATTTAGCAGTTGGAACAAGTCTAAATATGTACAACTTCCACACCTTCATTACTTTGACAGCACCTCTCACCAACCTTGAGTGTTTCTTGGTACCTACCAGTGCAATGTGCTGATAAGGTCCTATACATACATTAGCTGAACTTAAACACCAAAGTGTGTCACAAGTTGTTAAAAAAGTACTGACGATGCTGAACAGGTGCAGGATCTCCACTTGCTCTCTCTCGATTGTACATCAGAATATGAGGATTATTTAGATCGATTCTTTGTACAATCAACTAAATACTGATATCTTCTGAACTCTAACTAAGGTCAATAAAAAAAATTCAACTAGAAACTAATAAAAAATTAACTGAGCAATTCTTTAGATTCATATTTTTTGTGACTCCTTAGCACCAATAGAAAAGAAAAAGCCAATAGAAACTATTCAGATATTCAATTTTATTTCTTTATCTTTAGAATTCTTACCTTTCCATTATTATTAGCATTATTATATATTCGAAGTGACCAGCTCCTTTTTTTCACTTCAGATCTAGTCCATTTTTATCGCTTAGTGATGGCTTAATATTTGAACAGTATCTTACACCATCAAGTATGACATCAATGCACTCGAAATTTAAACATTATAGATGAGAACCATCTCTCAAACACACTATGAGCATTTTTATTACATTGTTATTAATCAAAACACTCAGTTGATTATACAAAGAATCGGTTTAAATACTCTTCATATCCTAATATACAATACTCATATTGAGAACCATGTAAAATTCCAATATCTATTTAGTGATGTACCAACAACAGCTAAATTTTAAACTTACTACTTTGGTAATGAGAGCTTTTATTTTGACGCCAAAAATATCAGGTCTAGCTCAGTTACAGTAAAAATATCTCCTTTGTTAGAATAGATATTGACTTCTAGAATTGTCTATAATTCTAGTTAGAGTTAATTCTATTCAGAAATTTCTATGTGCATATATTTTTAAATTAATTATTGCATCTATGCATGTGTATGTTCAAATGTTTCGACCAATGTTCCAGAGAATTACATTCCTATACAGATATAAGATGAA